ATGTTTTATACTGATGTACTATAACATAGTATAAACATGTATGCTGTATGATGACATAGTTTTTCTTGATCGTGTAATTAATACATTTATTTGTAACTTTAAAAAATATTTTCTTTTCGTTTGCAGTGACCTTATATAGGTTTGCTTCTTAAAATTCTTAACTTCCTTGTGTGTGTAAGTAGTTATGTTAAAATGTGCTAAGTCATCATCAGAGGTCACATATGCAGGAACAGTTATATTCTCGCTGTGAAACTATCTGGGTTTTCTTCTTGGAGGGGCAGAGGATAGGAGACACAGATTAGTAAGATTTTGACAACTTTATTTCTTCAGTGGAAATCAGGCTGTTTAGATTTTTTTCTTCTGGAGTCAGTTCTGAAAAGTTATATTTTCAGGATATAATGAAACGAAGGACTCCACTTACAATAGCAAACAATAAAGGAGATAAATGCATAGGAACAAACTTAACTAACAATATGCAGGACTTACATGAAAAAGATTTTTTAAGAGACTCCTGAGAAACATAACAGATGATTAAACAAATCAAAAGGTATATCATATTCTTGAATAGGAAAACTTAACATTATCCATTTTTCCTAAATCATAATTTTAGCTCAATCCCTACAAAATTGCTAAGACTTTTCAAAAAACCTGCTGATTTTCTTATTGTTAACGGAAAAATAAACATACAAAATTTCCAGAATTACTGGAAAAAATTTTGCAGTGAGGGGAGATGAATCAGCCTTACTAGATACTAGATATTAAAACATTCTGTAAAACTTCTATAATTAGAAGTTACTAGTACATGATTAATGGAGTGGAATAAAATTCCAGAAACAGGCCAAAATATACATACAAGTTTAGGTCCCTATCATAGTCCATTTAGGTTGTTAGAACAAAAATGCTATTAACTGAATGGCTTATAAACAACAGTTTATAAGTTTATCTCTCACAGCTCTAGAGGCTGAGAAGCCCAAGATCAGGGCACTGGCTGATTCTGATGAGGGCCTGCTTACGGTTCATAGACATGTCTTCTTGCTATGTCCTCACGTGTTGGAAGAGAACAAGGGATCTCTCTCAGCCTCTTTTTTTTTTTTTTAATTTTGGTATCATTAATCTACAATTACAGAAAGAACATTATGTTTACTAGGTTCCCCCCTTCACCGAGTCCCCCGCACATACCCCTTCACAGTCACTGTCCATCTGTGTAGTAAGATGCTGTAAAATCATTACTTGTCTTCTCTGTGTTGCGCAGCCCTCCCCATGCCCCCCATGCACTATACATACTAATCGTAATACCCTCTTTCTTTTTCCCCGCCCTTATTCCTCCCTTCCCACCCTTCGTCCCCAGTCCCTTTCCCTTTGGTAACTATTAGTCCATTCTTGGATTCTGTGATTCTGCTTCTCAGCCTCTTTTTTAAGGGTGCTAATCCCAGGACCTAATTACTTCCCAAAGGCCTAGCTTCTAACTCCAGCACCTTGGGGGTTAGGATATTAGCATATGAATTTCGGGGGAATACAAGCATTCGGACCACAGCAGTCGCATATTAAATCAGTGGAGGGAAACAGGCTATTTAATAATGTTGGGACAATGGTTAGCCATCTGAGTAGTAAAGTTGAATACCTCTTAGTGTTCATCTTTTGTGTTTACCATGATAAAAGAAAATGTATTAATGAAACCACAAATGTGCTAGAAGGAAATGTATGAAGGTGAAATAGGGCAGAATATGGGGAAGATCATCCTAATTAGGATCAAAATCCAGAAGCCAGGAAAGAAAACGTTAATGAGTCTGTAGGTTAAGAAGTTCTGCATAGCAAAAATCACTGTAAGCAGAACCAAAAGACAAGAATATATGCTGGAGGGAACATTCCAAATCATATTATAGAGGCCTAATCTCCTTAATTTACGAAACACTCTTATTTGATAAGAAAAAGTTGGTTAGAAATTTGATAAGAAAAGGGCTAACAGCTCAGTGGAAGAATGCAGAAAGGGGATAGATAGTTCACATAAGAAGAACTACAGATGGCTGTACAGCATATGGAATAATGCTAAACCCCATGATAAAGAAAATGCCTGTTAAAGCTAGACTAATGTATCATTATTTTGTCTTTGCCTGATTGGCAGAAATCCAAAAGTTTGAATATCTGTGCCATGGCCTAGTCTCACCTGTGAGGAAATTGGCACTTACACATTGCTAGAGTCTTCCAAGAGTAGAACTGGAGAGTAATTTGGTTGTTTTAGAAGAATTACAAATACGTGTATCTTCTCTGACACAGTGTTTTCACTTCTAGGAATATATTCTATAGATTCACTTGTGTGACTGGGGTTGGGTATAAGGTGTTTTTACAGCTTTTCTTGTCATTGTGAAATTTCAGGAACTACATGTCCATCAGTAGAGAACTGCTGAGTCAGTAGTAGATTATGGTATAGCCATAAGATGGAATCTTATACAGTTATATAAGAGAAGAAAGTTTTATAATCTTTGATCTCTAAAAGAGGATTAAATAAAAAAGCAACTTGTAACACAGTGGGTGTAATACACTTCCATTTGTGTAAAAAGGGGAAGGAAAAACACTTTGTATTGCTCTGTATATGCATGAAAATTCTCTTGAAGGATGAGTAAATGTACTTTTTGAGATTGAAACTATGTGACTATATTCCCTGGTGAAAAATAAAATAATGTTGAACAGTATAATAGATTCTTAATTCTAGTTCTCTTTTTTCACAGTAGCTTCCCCATTACTTAGAATAAAATCCAAAGGCTTATGTGATCAGGCCTCTGCTTAACAATGACTTTATCTCTAAGCAACCTCTTTGTCTCACCCAGAGGCACACTGGCTTTCTTGTTTGACCTGGAATTTTGTGCCTTGCATTTAATATTTTCCATGGCTAGAAGGCACTTCCTGCATATCTCTGCATGGTACACTCCTTTACTTCCCTCTGTTCTCTGCTTACATATATCAGAGACGTATTTAAAGACTTATCTAAAATTCCAAAGGGGTGTATTTCCTTTCTCCTGTGCTAACCTCTACTCTGGTGCTTGATTTCTTTATAGCATCATTGCCTGACATTATTTTATATTCTTTGTTCATTATATTGTTTCCCACAAGATTATAAATTCCATCAGGAGAGGGATTTAGTCTTATTTGCTGCTGTGCCATATTACTCTGATCAAGGCCTGCACTTGGTGATGCTCAGTGATACCTATAGTAGAAGAGTGCTGAAGTAGTTTCATGTGTGGAACAAATTTATAGGATTTTTGGCTGTTATTAATGAAAGACTTAAGGGATTATGGTTTTCAGTAGTTTCACAGAGTAGTATACCTCAGCGTATTTTGCTTGGCATGTTTCCTTGGTAATTTGTTTTTGTTTTTTAGTGTGAACTGAGCAGGTTTCCTTACACTGTTCCGGGACAAACCATAGAAATTCTCATTTTAGAAATAATTGCTCCTTACCCGTCCCCAGTGTCATCTTAAACTTGGTTCTTACTACTTTCACCAGTGATAATGAGTATCATTTTTAAAACTTAAATTCTCAAGTTACTGAATTCTAGAAGCCAGCTTGTTTTTATTGTACCTTTATTGTTAAAACAAGCTGAATAGTTAATTTAAAAGTAGAGGGAGTATGACCATATTCTACATCCATGATTCCTTTATAAACATTTTTTAGTTGTATTGGGTAAGACTGTCCTACTTAAGTTAATTCCTGCCTCTCAAACTTGACAAAAATTTGTTTCTGTTAAAATTTAGGCTCATTAAGCCTAAATTAGAGTATGCATGCAATAAATTAAAAACAATACTTCATGATTGAGAAGACTACGGAATTGCTTATTACATATAAACATCTCAAATTTATATTGTTGTATCTGATCATAACAGGCTATGGAAAAATACACTGTTATGAGTTTAAAACAACCCATTGTAATGATGATCTTGTTTCCCCAAACAGAAGTTATTACCATATTTAATTGGTAGAGTTTTAAAATTTTGTGGTCTTTCTCAAGCTAGAAACACCATAATATATGAATAGAATTTAAAATATTATACCTTTTTGATGGCATCTTTTTTTTTAATTCTCTCTATGTTTGCAGCTAAAGCTGGAGCAAAGAAGGTTCTTGGAGTTGACCAATCTGAAATACTTTACCAGGCAATGGATATCATAAGGTAGATGCGTTTTAAAGCTGATTTAAGATTATTTTTAAATTTGACATCTGACAGATTTCTTGTCTTTAATAGCCATCTAATGTAGACTCAAGACATTTGTCTTTCAGTAAACATTGATTCCAGAATAATAAGACTTTAAGTTGGATTGAGCTAGATGTGTTTGAGATATAAGTAATCTTTTTGCAGTTCTCAGTGATGAGAATTATTTTTTCATAATTTTCTGTCTTTCCAATTATTGCTATAAATACAGTAAACATAATATACAGAATTAGAAATCGTTGACCTATAGGGTAATATTGCTAGAGGATTCTCTACAAAAACTAAATATTTATGTCAGTTATATTTCCTTTAGCAAATAGCAATTAGACTAAAGAAAAGTGCTATCTTTTTCCTTTTTGACAACAATTGCCCTTGTGTGTCCTTCAAATTAAGTAAATTTCAAAATGGCTACAAATAAGACAATAGTTTGTTTATCCTCTGAAACCTAATTTTATTGTCTAAAATTATCTCCTCCCTTTGAGAAGTTATTAAGTTAATCAACCAGTGATTGATTTTACTATTGGCTTATGTCCTAGTAAGAAGCCCTTTATTTGAACTATAGCTTTTAGAACTAGATTTCTTTAGCTGTGTACTTAACAAAAAGCACCTTCTATTCGTAACTTAAGAATAATTTGCAGAATAAATAATTAATAGGAGGCTTCTCAGGGATCCTTTTTTTTCCAGCTTTATTGAGATGTAATTGACACATAATATTACATAAGTTTAAGACATACAATGTGTTGCTTTTATACATTTATATATTGCAAAATGATTATGAACCTAGCATTAGCTAACACCTCCATTGTGTCACATAGTTACCATTTCTTTTTTTTGGTGAGGTATTTGATATCTACTGTCTTAGCAACTTTCAGGTATATAATACAGTATTACTAGCTATAATTACCATGCTATACATTAGGTCCCCAACAACTTAAATGATTTTAAATCATTCTCCCACTGATACTTATGTTCTGTTCTTAAAATTGATTAATGTGTATCTTTTCTTATTATTATAAAATTTAAATACAATCATGTAAAATGTGTAATTTTTAGATTTTATTGCATAATGTAGAAGTATAGAGTTGTGGTAAAGAGCACAAGTTTGAGGCAAGCTTGGTTCAAGTCCTTGCTCTATCATTTACCAATTATTTGAACTTTGGTTAAATTATATCTGACCTCTGAAACCACAGTTGTTTGTCAAATAAAAATAATAATGACTAACTCATATGGTTATGAAAAAGATAAGTAGAATATTCATATAAATCTCTTGGCATATTGCTTGGCATGTAGTAGTGTTCCAAAGTTAGCTACTATTATTGTAGCAACTACCAACTTAATGAAAAAATTGTGTTGATCTTGCTTAGATTTTTCATAGATAAAGGTCTGTGCTTACAATATGCATTTTGGAGGCTGTGCATATATGTCACATATATACATATATATATGCAATCTATAAAATTGTGAACTTTATAGTTATGATACCATTAAATACAACATCATCATTTTGGGGGCTCTATAAAGAGCACTTTCACTTGCTTGTGTGCTGATTTCCAAACAAATATAAGAACCACTATCTCAAAGAAGGTGCTGTTTTAGAAGAATTGTCAAAAATTTATTGTTGATAGTAAGATTATGGTAAGATGTTTCTATTAATTCATTTTTGTATTAATTGATCATTTTTGATTTCTACAAAGCAAGACTAGATGGGCTTTCATTTTAATTCCTTATGGAAAAAAATTAAAGGGATAGTGATAACAATTATTTTATTTTGCATTGTTTTGCTTTGTTTCATCTTATTTTACAGAGGCCCTGATTCCTAGTGACTTTTTAGAAATATGTTTATACAATGATTATATTCAGATCGATTGTGTATAAAATTTAGTGCTTGAGTATATGTAATCTTGGAACAACAACAATGTATGAATTGCTTGCCTGAGAGCATTTTTTCAAAATAACTTGGCACTCAACTTTAGGTACTTTGTTTTAATACTATAAATTACTAACAATAATTTAGTCCTTTCTGTTGAATTTCCTTTGAGGTAGATGCAATTACAGTATATTATTATTCTTCCCACAGAGATTAAGAAATTGAGACATAAAGATTAAGTAACTCCTTGGTTATAGTGGAGCCAGGATTAGATTCAAGACAGCCTGACTCCCGAGTCCGTTCTCACAGACAATTTACTCTGCTATAGTTCCTTTTAACTACTTACAGGGCATGTATTGATTGTGTTCATTAGTTTATGTTGCTTAGAACCTATAGAATTTAAAAATCAGGCCTTTTTGTTTTGGATAAGCCAATATTGTACTGTTTCTTCAGAGACATTTTCCTTTGCCTTTTTTTATATGTATTATGAAAAGATAGCTGTTTCCATAGTGTTCATAAGCACCTCTTTTGTCTTCCATCTGAAAATTGGAAATTTACACTGTGGGGTGAAATAACCTCTGTTCTTCTTTTTGTAAAAGTACCTATAAAAGAATATGCAGGAAGCAGTTTACTACTGGCTCATTATTCTACCAGCTGAGGAGGCAGTATAACATACTTCTTTCAGCATCTGAAATCACATGACTTGATTTCTAATTTTTGCCTTTTGACTTACTAGCTTTGTAATAATGGGCAAATTCTTTAATTTCTTTAAACCTTGGCTTCTTCATTTATAAAATGCGGTTGATGGTAGTAGCTGATGGCAGTGCAATCTATTTGATAGAATTGTTGTAAGGATTGAATCCATTTATTGTGCTTTGCAAAGTGGCTGGCATATTACTGCTTACTGAATATTAGCACTAATTATAATAATATTAGTAGGTAGTAATAGTGGTATGCTTTCCTTGGCACCAGTGCCTCAAATAATACTTTATATTTGATTGGTTATGTTTCTGAAATGATCATTTATTGCAGCTATCCTACGAAAATATTTTTTTTTGGATTCTTTATGTTTCACAGTCTGTCTTTTCTTCCACCATTAAACTTTAAGCTTTGGCCAGTTTTCTCCTGTACTCACACTCCTCCCTTGAAATCTACTTTTAACTTTTCTTAAATGTGTCTATTATTGCATATTGGAGCTTCCTAGAACTATCATCAGTCAGTGAAAACAATTCTTGCAGTTAATAGGCCGTGAGTTTTCTTTAAGTGTTCTTTCTCTGTCAGAAAAACTATACACATAATGATACCAAAATAAAAAAAAGAAAAGAAAACTATAGACAGCAGAATTGCTAAACTCCATATGCATTTGAAATTCTAAAAGATGTATTCTAAAAGAATCTTTTAGAAGAAATTCTGAAAGAGATCTAACATTTCTAAAGAAATGAGTAGAAAAAGTTTTGGTTTTTATGTAAATGGGCATGTATATATATATTAGGACTAATATATGTAGTGTATATCAATACAGATTAATCTATTATATATATTAGAACTTAAAAACATCAGGCTTTTGGTGAAGGTACAGACAGGTATAAAGTAGAATATAGATTTTTAAAGATATTAGCAGAGGCAGATAAAACTCAGAGTGATATATGGAAAGAATGAGAAATTATTCCTTATTCTTGCTGTTGTACTTCGAACTCTGCTGTGAATGATCATTCAGAAACATACACTTAGCTAAGGATAACAAAGCTATTCAACTGCCAAATAATTGTATACTTCATTCATGCTCAAAAAGCAGAGATAACTTCTGGCAATATTTTTACCACCATTTTGGCTGCCTTTGGTTTCTTATTGACTCAGCTATGAAATAACTCATTATTGAGACTTGTGGATGTTATTGCAGAGAAGTTTTCATGAAAAGATTGATCCATCATGTAGCTACAATGCAGTATGACAATTTCAGTCTCAGTATGACATTAAAGATGCAATTTTTTACATCATCTGTGTCTGGACTACTGTTAGAAATGAAACATTAAGAAAAGCCTAGAGAATATTTTGACGTGTTGTCATGTTTATGTAAGTATCCTCCAGATTCTAGGACAAGAGCTTTATCTTACTCTTTTTATCCCTAATACCCAACAAAGTATCTGGTACATGGCAGATGCTTAGTAAAGGATTTTTGAAAAGGAAAATATAACACCGATTTTAAAGATAGTGGTAATGTAGTATATAAGATTTAGGTCAAGATCACAAAATACAGCAGTATAAATTCTTGAGGTAAGAGATACTCCTTCACATTTTGTTTCAAATTTAACAGAAATGACAGAGGAGTGAGTTAAAGGTGAAGAGAATTTTGAATCACTGATAAGGCTCAAATGGTGAAAAAAAAAATACTTTGCTGCTCAAAGCCATAGAATTATCATGAAGGTAATGGAGGTGATCAAGACACCTTACAAAAAAATTAAATTAATTTCTTCTCCAATCCCACCAGCCTCTTAATTGCCTGTCCATTCAGTTGTCCTGTCTTGGGGTTTCCATGACTACCTGCTAGCTCAGTGGTTCACTGGGAGAACTCCCGTGACTCAATATAAAATTGAGTTCACATCTCAGAGTGATTACAACAAAGGATAGAGTCTAGGGAAAGCAAGAAAAAGAAAATCCATTAATGAAGAGGCTCCCAGGAACTCCCTCTTTCTCTCAAGAGCTGCACAAAATGTACTTTTCTCTCTAGCTGTGATCCTCAGAGACATGTGTGAAATGTCTACCCAAGGAAGCTTGAGTCGTAGAGCTCATAGGTCTCATCATTATCCTGTAACTATGTGAATGTTCAGGAGTTTTGTTCTTAGAGTTTGATCAAGAATTATTGTCTTGGTTACAGAGATAAACAAGAGTTGGTAGAACAGACCTGTATTAACTCTCATAGGTCAAAAGTAGAAACCTGGGATTCATACTTGACCTTTACTTCTCCTTTACTGACATACCTGTTGAAGTTTGAGTCCCATTAATTGAGAATCCTCAGTGTTTCTCAAATCCATCCCTCTTCTACCATTGATGTTTCTTAAGTCCATGATTTAACTCATATATTCTTATATTTCTC